CTAACTCCAACTGCAAAGGTGGCGCTTCTTCTGAGTACGACTGCTGACAAAGTGCACAACGTGTTCAACACGTTCCACCTTGGAACACCGATTATGCAAATATGGCTACACAATAATCAGTACAAGGCTTGTTGCGCACAATTATGGAACGAGGTATATGTGTCATATGTGTTTCGCTTCATGAAGTCGGCACAATGGATTGGAAATACTCGAGTCCTCAAAAAGAGTGCTACACATGAAATTTTCAGAACAGGTGTATTCAGTGATATGGCATCAAATTGTGTATGGTTACAAGAACTGAAACTTGTGCGCGAATATGCTTTGAGAACAAGCGTTGATAATACAGCCTGTGGAATGATTGCGAAAAGCTCCAAATCTGCGTGCAACGAGGCGAAGATTTGGGCCGATGGGCCATCGTATGTACGCTACTGTGGGGTCAATGTCAAAGAAGTCATCTGCTTAGATATTAAAATAGTTATGCTCGTACACAATCGTACAGCTACAATTTCAAGGGTAGTACCAAAGCACCAAAAATGTATTTGAAGAAAATTGACATTCTGCGCAGAATGCACAGCACAGTCATAGTGAAATCAAGAAAACAGGTCTTTATAGGTTCTTTTAAACACCCTCCTTGCTATCACAACAGGTACGCTAAGGTGGCACCCACTGCGTCATAAACAATGAATATTTTTGTGAAAAAGCAAAGCACCCGCTACACCTTTATTTGTTCTTAGGAGCAGCGTTGTACTCTCTACACATCGGTGATACATTATGTACATATTTTCCATTGCGGGGCTCAATTCAAAAATAATTATGAAATGGCTTTTGAATGAGTTGGAAGCATTCAATGGATGATTTGTTATGCAATACCACTCTGTGACGCCTGGCTGCTAATTTGTATTTGTGAAGCTCTTGCTAACGCTTGCTAACGTAATTCTTCTCGCGACATGTAGTCGGTGTATGTTCACTTTACCGGCACTTTTCATTTGCCGGATAGTTAGAATACTGGCCTCTCAAACAGAGCTAAAGGATTGCAACAATAATTTTGGGGTATATAATTTGTTTTTTAAATATGAAGCAGCCTCTTTGTTCATCCGTGCTGCGTACTGCCCAACCCTCCTCCCACTTCCGCACGTGTTCTCTTCCTATCTCTCTCACCTCTGCGCTAACTCCTCTCTCTCCTGTACGATCTCAAGGTGGTACAGCAGCGCGAACTTGATTGATTCGCAAACGCCGAGAGGCGAATGCCCAAGCGACGATGCCACTCGAGTCAATGGCGAAGAAACCAACCCCTTTGTAGAAGCCGCTGCAAATTGGACCGATGGCGCGAATGTGTACTTTAAGCGAGATTTCCTCCACTGAAGCTTCGGCAACAGCTGAAAAGTCTGTGAACATCTTTGGTTTTATGACAACTTGATGATAAAGGTGGGAAGCATTGAGAACGAACTACACCAGAATGTGGCCGTCAACATGCTGGGGATCATGTGTGATGTTTTTTGGTGCAAAAGCTTTTTTATGGCCGAAGAGGGCCAGTTTATAAGACAAGAGATGTGAACAATGAAAGTGTGTGCCTGTATAATGGCCTTAAATAGCTCGCGCTAAGGCGGGTAAGGGGGGCCTCATCCTTGCCCTTGTGGTAAAAGTGACGAGTCAGGTGCTTTTCATAGTAGCCACTGCTGTAGCAACCTCTCTTGAGAGGTCACGCTTACGAAGCCTGCGAATATTACAATAAAAGGGCAGACTTCTCTTAAAAACGCCCACAAAGATTTATGAGAGAAAAGTAGTTGTCTACCGATTAACTTTGCAGAATTCAGTGGCATCTGTTGTTGGTAGGCTAATAGAAAGCGTTCTCCTCTTAGAGTGTCCAATTGTTCACACTGGTTAAAAACGTAGAGCACTGTTAGTGCTTCTCCGTATCTGTCTCACAATGGTGGATCGTCACAAGACAAAATTTTTGAGTGTGTCGAGCATGAGTGTTCTATCTTGAGCCTTGTTAGAGTCGCCTCTGTACGTCATGATTTCGGTACTGGCGGCCAATCATCAAAGTGTCGCTTAATGACTTGCAGTTTGTTTTGTGTGTTTCTATCCTACTTGTTCTGCAAGTGATCCCGATGCTTTCATTTTAGAGAAGGTTTACTATCAAGGGCTTTGATAGATACTGTTGTTGTAGGAGTGTTTTCGCAGACGGCTGCAGCGAGCTGGTCCGCCCTCACATAGCCTTGAATCTCCTGGTGCCCTGGCACCCAGCACACTACGACATGTTCGTTAAGTTTGTAGGGTTCTGATAAAATAAAGCGAAATGAGGACGTGATTTTTTTGTTCTTAAGTCTTGGCAGAGCGTTTATTACACTGAGGGAATTCATGTAAATACTGATTTTTGTAGTTGTACTTGTTTGATATGATTATCAACCACAAAGATGCGGAAGCTTCCGCAATGATGATGCTTGCATCTGGATGTAGAGGGCAAGCATACGAAAAGGAAGGGTCGACAGCTGCGTAAGACACAGAAGAGTTAGACTTCAAGGCATCTATACAAAACTCAGTCGTGTGTATTTGTGTTGCAGATCCACAAAATATGTTCGGATATGGGCATTGGGAGCGTGTTTTGTATCTTTAGGCAATACACATTGTGGTCTAAAGTCTGCCATTTCTATGGTGGCGGGTATGGTGCTGGACCCATTAAGCTGTGTTTCAAGCGGCACACAATTTATCTTGGCTAGACATTTCAGGCGAACTGAGTAGGGCTGTCTCACAGAAGGTCATTTTTAAACATAGTTAATTTTTTTAAACAGAGTTTTTTGAAAAATTGTTAACAGTGGAGTATGAGGGGTGTTTTCTGACGGCGTTCATCTAGCAAAAATATACAACGACATGTATGTTTTCGGCAGATGAAGTGATTCATTTGACTCGACGTAGAGGCTTTCTACGGTGCTAGTGGGAAAAGCACCCGTAAAAACGCGGATGCACAAATGGTAGACTGGCTCAAGCATTTGCAGGACACTTGGTGCTGCACACAGATATATTATCATCCCATATTCTAGACGCATGCATATAAGGCTTTTATGAAGAATCATCAGGCATTTTCTGTCACTGCCTCATGATGCGCGCGATACAATCTTGGATGCATTGATTGCTTCCATGCACTTGTTTTGAGATGTTTAGAGCGAGGATTGAACTTTAGTATCTTGTCTAAAATATAGCGAAAAATTTTGCGTGGATTTCATTGTTTGCCTCTGAACATGCTGGTGAATATCCAGATCGGGATGGGGATTTCTGTTTCTCCCGAATAAAATGCATGTGCTTTTTCGTGCATTAGGGGGAACCCATTCTCGTCTGCCCACTTGGTTTCATTATTTAAGCCATGTTGAACCTGCCGCTCGCACGTTGAGAAGTAACATGATGTATAACCTATCTGCACGTTGTCGACATATTTGAAATAGAACATCTTTCGTTGAATGCAAGTATGCAAGGTATTTATTTTCATAATAAAAAGTGTGCTACTCAGCACGCCACCTTATGGAACGATGCCCTACTGAAAAATCCTGTACAGATAGGACCCGTATCATACGATGTTATTGGATACAGGTGATACAGGGATTATGGGCCATATGGGGGATACAGGGATTACGGGCCATATGGGGGATACAGGGCTTATGGGGCATATGGGGTATATGGGCCATACAGGAGTTAAGGGTTCGTGAGTAATATAGTTGATAGGGGTCCGAGGAATTCTCCGGTCCTGCTGAAAATCATAATATAGTGCAAAAAAGAGAGAACAGTCACACAAAACCACACACCATATAATTTTAAGCAAGCATAAACTAGCCCAAAAACAAGCCCTTCTGCAGAACAACCCCGGTTACTTTGGGCAAGTAGTAAGGGTCAAAAGTAATGTTTGTCTAAGCATGGTAATAAGGCTATACCAGTTTATAGTGTAAAAAATATGAATATGCCACAATGGGCAAATTAATGGTGCTTCGAAAGTACAGTAGACTAAACGGGTGGAAGTGTTGTATGTAGTGTAGTGTCGGGACATTTGAGAAAAACAAGACAAATATTTTTGCATCCTCGAATTTATTTATATGATTACTATAACTTACTAAATTCTTTACTTATTTGTTTAACTGTAAGTTAAAACATAAAGCAAAATACCATAAAGAGTACTGACACAAAATTTTGTAGCTAATATAGCCTGCGACATTGATTCCCTTGAACGTACATATATCTACAAATTGGATGAACAATTATAGCTCAGACGGCCAATTATATGAATATTAAAGTTTGCGTGCCTGATCCAGTGCTATATGCCGCATCTCGCATCATTGAATCACTGAAAGTGACCTGAAGCTGAGTCCCAACTTCCAGGTGCCACCATTGTTGCTGAGCTCAGAGTTGGCACAGCTATATTATTGACATCATAGTCGTTATTGCCTTTTGGCCACACTTGTGCTAGCAGGCTACTATTCAGCGACTGCTGTGTTCATGCCTAATGTAAACATGTGGAACGTGAGGATGCCTTAAGAAAATCTTTGCACCCGAACGAGAACGATCAACTTGACGACGACATTGTGCTGCATATGCAGCAGCAAAACAATGTGAGCACATAACGCAGGCAGCACAGAAGTGCGTCAGTGTTCTGTGTGTAAGAAGGAAGAAGAACAATACGCCATGGTGGGCCATCTCTTAAGCCAGAAGCGCCGAGCGGGAGCTGTTTGCCCCAGCGCCTTGATTACTGTGTCTGTTGTCACCGTCCACTTTCAATATTGATAGACCTGCTGTGCAAGTGCTACTTACACCTGGAAGCCCCGTTTTATGTGTACCATTTAGCACACTAGTTGGCATTTGTTGCATTCCGCGGCTCGTGTTCTTAGAGCTGTGCCATGCTAAAACTAGTCTGTAATAAACAGACAGCAATTGTCCATCTGTCCCATGCTGCAGCAAGCAATCCACCACATTGTGACTAATAGGCTGTCAACAGTGTTAATATTGCAAGACAAAAATTTGCGTCAGTACCTCTTTAAGCAATAATCACTAGCCACAACCTCCAAATTTCTCGCTGTCAGAGCCCCGTTCAGGGGCACTTGTTTGTCCTCTTGATGCACAAATACTCCAATGCGGGGCTACTATGAGGCTCTTGTTCTGAAGCTGAAGGACACTCCACAGGAGCTTTGTAGCCTCCTTGCATTACGACCGCAGCCAAGCCCACTGCTCCTTCTTCTGCCTCTCAAATGAACCTGCAGGGGAAAAATGTCTCTGTGATCCTTCTTTCTTGTGTGTGGGAGTTAACATCGTTACACTCACCCTCAAATTGTTGCTTTAACACTTAAAACTTACTAGCATAACTACTTCAAAAAATGAAGTTTCAATAGTGAAAATTGATCCACGAGGTTTCACAATTTTGAATTCAAACAGCTAAATAGAAGGTCTCACAGAAGAATATGCGTGGAGCTCTAGGCACGTGCATGAGTTGTGATCTGTGGCCTTAGCACAGCATTTAGAAGGGCACATGTCTTTTCTACTGAGAACGAAAAATGGGGTAAAAATTTGAAGTAAACAATAAGTAGGGGTATGCAAATATTCATATTTTTGAATATCTTTTGAATAATATTTGCTATTTGATTCAATTCGTATGGCAAATTTTGCTATTCGAACTATTATAACTTACCAGAGACAAAAAATAGGGTCAATGTCTGACTGAAAGGGACCCTCCAAATTTTTAATATGTTTCACCTCATCACACTCGTATTGCATGAAAGCTGAATTTCTGGCTCTGCTACGGTCGCAAATGTACTGACTCTAGAAAAGGCTGATTCTAAAAAGGAGAAGATAGGTGTGGCAGAGACAAGGGCTTACTTATACTGCTTTTTGACCTGAAATTTGATCAACTCTTTGGCTGCATGAAATCGTGCATATGAACACATCTGTGCATATATAAATTCAATTGCGCATTGCCTTATTCTTTATAAGGCAACTAGGAAGCGCTACCCTACCAACACTTATCAATTTTGCGAAAAGGAAGACTTTATTCTCATAAGAATAAACTTTGGAAGCCTCTCCAACTTTTTCTAGAATTTCACATGAAGTATTTGAAAAAATTCTAGAAGTATTCGAGAAATTTCAGAAAAATATTCAATTTGCACACACACTTCAATATTAGAATTCACTTTGGCACACATACTATAAAGTTCAAGAGAAGTGGGAAAACCAGAAATAGTTTAGCATTTTATCGCACACTCCTGCCACAGAGAATTATTCTTCTTGTTCTTCAAGCACTTTGATGATGTTGAAGCAGGCAAAACCATATAAAGCATCGCCAATTAAGGGCACACTTGCACCAGAGCGACCTTTTCCTCCTGTTCTTTGAGTGCCTTGATGGTAACATTTAATGTCCAGCAATTTAAGGGCCTCGATCATCCACTGTCATTACTTAAATCTTTTTCAAATTTCTTTCACAAATTCAGAATAGTATACACAACACTCTCCATGAAGCAGTTTAAGTGGCCCAGCAACCCTTTTCGAGCATGGTCAGAAAATGCTGCCGAGGGTAGTCGAGGCACCTGAGAGCATGTGAGACAGACATGATGGGGCAACACGCAGCCTGTAATTCATAATTTATTATCAGTCACCTGAAAAACGCTGTTTCCCCTAAACAAATAAGGCTCCAAATTCAACTGACTGCGCTTCAAGTGCGATGTGTACAACCGCAACCGGAGGCTGCCTTATGCCCGTGCACATGTTCGTGATTACACTGAGAAGAAGCCCCATGTTTGAAGAAAAAAAAGGGGGGGGGATAAAAGAGCTCAACTTCAGGATGCACGTTGATAAATAGGCATAGCTTCTTGTCTCCCAGTCATCCCCTCCTGCGTGGCTTTGTGTGAGCTCACTCGAACGAAATGTGAAAGAAAGCACGTAAAGTATGTGACGAATTCCTGTAGCTCCGCTAGTATTTCGCAGATTGCAAAATTTTTTGCAACAGTCGATTTAGGATGAATTAAGTTTCTCTAATGAAGACATTTGATGATTACTTGGAAAGGCTTTTCAGGGCTTCTTCATTACAAGGCAATGCGAACATGTGCCTGTAACTTGAAGGTAGGAACTCTTCAACCTGATATGGTTTTGTTATGGCACAACGTAGTCATTACAATTCCAGCTTCCAGTTTTAAATTTAGTCGACCTGTTCCAAAACTTTACCCACTGTACAAACCACACCTTTATATCAGTAAATTGTCCAAAAATGAAGAAAATACAATTATTATGTGAGCAAATACAGTACATGGATATAAAAAAGATAAGTGCAAGCTGCAGGAGTATAAATGGCATATTCAGGCTGTATGAGGAATGTCGTGGAACTGGTAGAGATGAGTATTAATGCATCAACAGCAAACAAAAAATAAAAAAAGGAAAGCTGCCCACTTTGTTATTTATGAGGGCCAGAACTGTAAGCGGCAGTCCCCCCCCTGGGTGCTGCCCCCCAAAAAGCAAAAAAAAGTGGATAGTTAAGTCAGCCATAAAATAAGGTGCTTCCACACAAGCATGCAACCACAGCTGACACAAATGAGCACTTAAACAGCATTAAAAAAGAAGCCCCCAAGCATAGCCCCTAATGAGCCCTTTGCAGCTACACGAGCTATCAACAGCTGTTTTCTGAAGCATGCATGCTCCTGCACCCTCCTCTGAAAGAAGGCACCGCGCAATAGCCAGCATGCTTCACACCAAATGCTGGTGCAAAAGCCCCCCCAAAAAATGAGAACTCAGGACACAATGTCATGTAGAAGCTGCTACAGTGCTATGAAAAAAGCATGCAAGAAACTTATTCATTTCAAGGCTTTGCCTTTGTTTTGCTATGCATGGATGAGTCATGTCAATATTCCTCGAACCAGGGTGCAAATGGCAACTATTGGCACCCTTGTTCAAGAATCATAGCAATTGAGAATCGAGATTAGCAGAAACCTCTTTTGGATTCAATCTCACTTAACTCTACAAAACAAAACGCTGGTTAAAGCAAATGTGAGTGCTCCCAAGAGTGAAGGGTTTTTGTGCTGTTAGTGACCAATGACCAAGTCTGGTGAGTCAACTTACGAGTCCGTTAAAATATGATTATCTTTTTCACCTATAGTTTCAGTGCTCCATAAAAGCAATATATTGCATAATGGGTGCTCCAGCTGGCACCTTGCAGTGTCTCGTGGCAGTGTAGCGGCCTCCCTCCACATGAAATCGCGCCTTGAGCTCTCAGTTTTCACAGCTCACACATATCTCAATGCACAAGCATTTGTGCACCGACTCAATATTTATAGCTGAGAGGCCAAAACTACAAGAGGGGGGGAGGGGGGAGTCGAGGTTCCTTGACATGCCCTCCTGTGAATTTCTTCCCGGGACATTCTCATAAAATATCTGAGGTGCCAAATCTTTGAATAGAGATTACCTTACTGGGTTACAGTCACTATATAAAGGTCTGAGATTGAAAGGTTGTAACTGGAGCACCCATTATGCAACACATTGCTGTTAAGGAGCATTGAAACCATGTGTGGAAAAGATCATCAACTGGAGCACCAATTATGCAACACATTGCTGTTAAGGAGCATTGAAATCATGTGTGGAAAAGATCATCATATTTTATCGGACTCGGAAGTCTACTCACCAGACTTGTCAGACTTGCAATGAGCAGCGAGTCTGAGTCCACTAGTAAGGCCTAAGGAAAAATTATATTTCATGAGTGAGTGTGAATGATTCGCAGATTTCTTTTTAACCTATGCAGGGTGCTGCTCAATATAAGCACGCAGAGACAGGGTAAATGCAGAAGTGGTTCAGCTGGTAAGGCAATGTGTTATGATATAGAAGAGTTCTTCGGTTGTCCAGAGAAGTGTTACATTATTAAGTAGTACCATCGATCATCTTACATCGCTGCCGAGAAAAACACTGACCAGAAAAAATTTGAAACAATGCAGTGTGATGATGTTTTGCATACAAAACAGCTCCTATTAGCACCTTAATAGGGCATCAGTCAGTCGGTCTATGATGAAGATTTTATAGATGATGCTGTGCAGTCACTGAGGAGGTGTTTTGAAAGAGAGTCTCGACACTGAGGAGTAACAAGTATTCACCGACTGCAGCAGGGGAGCTCCTGGACAATACTGCAGTCTACATGGAGGGACTAGTCGGGCTGGTGATGAAATCATTGCTTGAAGAATTGAATATTCTGGAGTGCCTGAGTTTCATGCTTGCGATGAGTAATACATGATGATTGTCTCACCATCATTGTTAGACCCACTTGAGTTGTCCAGTGATTTAACTAGCCAGTCATTTAGAATAAAATATTGCAATGGCAATTATATGGACACTTTCAACAGCTGCTACCATTGAACATAAGGGCGCAGTTATGAGTGCTGGTGCGTGCTATTTGGATAAATATCACTACACGGCTTGTTTACGTGGTGTGCTCTCAGCACTTTCTATTCGTTGAGACTACCGACAGCACAAAAACCCACTCACTCTCAGCAGCACTGACATTGACTTTAACCAGTGTTTCGTTTTGTGAAATGCAATCTGAAGAGTTAAGTGCTAATCTTTGTATAGCATTCCCATTTGCTCCTATTTCCTTCATTGCTTCGTGCTTGTAACAAAACTCTGAGCTAAGACTTTATCTTTGGACCCCAACCAGCATTTGCTGGCTTGCTAAAACAGGGGTACACCAGCCGAAATAGCATTTGGAGCAATTTTTGGAGCAGCCAAATGTTACTTTTGGAGCACTAAATTCCAAGTTCGGAGCTGGTTATGGAAAAAAAGAACATGCATTTTTATCATGACATAGCGAAATTGGAGCACTATAAAAAAAGGTGGCTTACATTTAGAGAAAAAACATGTGTAAACAATTCAACATAACCTAAATTATGTAGTGTGAGCATACTATTTACTACTATTTCAATGAAGGTAGTATTTTGAACCACCTCGCTAAGGAACCAATGATAAAGTCCATATTAGCGTTTACTGCACCTGTTAAATCAATTGACAAACTCTGAGAATTTCAATATCAATCTGCCGATATTGTGAGCTTGAAATTTGGAAGATTCGTAAAAACGAGAAGTAGAGGTGGTGAAAAAAAAAATTGGCGCACAATTTAGTTTATTTCTGTAGAGAAGCATAAATGTCACACACTGCTTCAAATGATTGACAGTAGCTTATTTATACGTCAGTATTTATACTGGTACTCAGAATTTAATGGTGTACAAACGCATGAGTAACTGAGCAAGATGTGAAGTGTCCCAGTATCGCGAACAGCCCCTTGTAAATCTCAACACGCTTTTTCGCAGGCACCGGTCTAGTGCGGCAAAGGTGACTCAAGCAGCTTTAGAACGAAAGTCAACAAATTTTCTTACCGCTCACCACCCCCCTCCCACCCACCCTTTTCAGCATGGGGCTATGTGCCGCTTCGGCTACCTAGCAAGACGAGTTTGACCAGATAAAGTAACAACGGCGCACCCCCGTTGCCCCGGCGACGGTACTAGATATCTATCGCCAAGACCGTGGCAAGGACGCAGCTTCCAGCCAAAATTTGTTATTTGCCATTGCTAAGGTAACCAACACCGGCATTTACAGCACGTCGAAGCCTTATTAAGCCATATCCGCGTTTCTGGCAAGAGAACTTACATTTTCCGCGAAGGGTTGGTGCAACACATTTTTGTTTTAAAGTTCTGCCATCCCGCCGATACGTATCTGTTGTGGTCAGTGGACCGATAGACATGCAGTGTTGTTACTTTATCAGGTCGATCACGTCTCACGAGCATAGGGTGGGTGGCTAGATTATTTTAGGTATATTCTAGGCAGTTTACTTCGGGTTTGCACGCTTTTAGTGATGGTGCAAAGCTGCAGGTGGCCGACATGGCCTGCATTGCTCACCGCAATTAGTACACCTGAAAAAAAATTGAGGCTTGCTGGGCATTTTGGCGCAGCGTGGTGCAATTTTAACAATTTCACGGGTTTGGCCCAGCTCGGTGCAACAATCGGGAATTGTATCAAATTGGCGCGATTGGCACAGCTGCTGCACCCCTGCTAAAAGGGCCTGATGTTAAACTGTTCAAGCTTTAGCAGTGCATTTTGGGGGATGTTAAGTCAGCCATTGGAGTCTACCCGGTCACTGCCTCCAATTAAGGGGTAGCGACAATAACATTTCTGCTCTATGTATCTACTTTGCCATTATTGAATATGACAGCTCTGCGGGTGTATGTAAACACTGCCTTACTTCAGAGCACTGTGTTGATTAGAGAAGACCAGCAAGTCCCAGACTTCCACGTATTTTTTACCCTATTGTAATCATTTTTGAGCATGTAATGATAGCAACCAGAAGTTTATACTAATTTGTTCAGAGCCTTGCGTTCTATTGACCGAACCAAAGTATGGTTTACTTTATTTAAAAAACTGCATTTTTTTGCTCTTGTACATGATTTTGGACATTTTGCACACTTTCTTTAAGATCAAATGAAAGTTTTTCTAAAGGATCAAGTTCAGTTCAGTACACCACCATGTGTTGCTTGAGTACGTGCACAAACAATCAGCATGACATCTTTTGCCATTTTAAAATTATCATACTGACATAACAAAAAATGCCATTTCGAGAAGATGGAGTTCTACTTATGCAATAAAAATTGCACATTTTTTTTCTGTGCTGACTTATTTTTTTTACTGTGCCACCTTATCTATTTCACTGTGTCTGACTTCGGTAAATGCTTAAACAACACTAGTTGGACAGCCTTTTCTTTTTGCTAAAAAATGCTAAACTTCATGCTTTTTGTCAATTTAGAAAGAAAATAAGCTACAAATACACCATATATAAAAGGGCCATTTGCTTTCAGGTCGCTTTTTTCAGTTGATTAAAAAAAGATACGCAGGATGAGGACAATACTGTAATATCTCAAGCAAGCGCCCCAACATAAGCAAGTTCCATCCTCTCTCTTTCAAGATATTTAAAACATGTACGAACAACTGAGCAAGCACTCCCCCCCCCCCCCCGCCTTTTTGCCATTTCTGTAGTTTCCTTCACTTCCGTTATTTAGAAGCGCAACGAGGTTGCAGAATCATAGTGAATTCATGCATATTTATTAAAGTGTATCAGTTTCGTTGGAAGCACATGCGACTTTTTCACCATAATCTTGATTTTTTGATGCAAGACAGAGCAAGAACCCCCCCGCCTCCGATTCTCGTCACCTTCACCATAGTGGGAGCACTCGCTCAGGATTGCACGGTACACGAAAATTGTAGAAAAAGAATCTGCTTTCATATCTAGTAAACAATGAAAAAGTACTTTCTTCTAACGTTTGCTTACCCTGCTTCCTTCATACACAAAATTATTAACATAACCCTTACAAATATTATTTAGTTCTGTAGCAAGGGAATATGCTGCCCGCTGATATTGTGAACTGCTTTTCTGTCAAATTTATGAACAGAATTCAGAACTTATCTGAACACCTGTATACTATACAATGTGCATATTTCTTGCTCTTACTTGCTTTGTACATAAGTTCGATTTATTTTCCTCACATTTTTGTGTATTCAAGTTCAACCCATTCCTGCATTGGCCCGAGAAGGGGCCTGCAATATTGTAAAATAAAATAAAAATAAGCTACTTCGAAATTCACATAAACTTGGTTCCCTACACTGACAGACACACGTAGTTTCAACCCTGTTCAAGAAGCATGAAGTTGGCAGACTTGTCAATTATTCTGCCCATTGAAAACATCAGTGCTATTGAAAGCTAAATTTCTTAACAGTACACACTTGCCTGACAGCTTCTTCTTGAAGCATGTGAAGCCCTGTCAAGGTGAGGCATCATTGGGAAGGACTGTGGTAGCAGCTCAGAAGTTGTAATACTGGTTGTGATGCAGCAATGGCTGAAGTGAAATATAGGTCGTGGTGGTGGTGGAAGCAGCTGCAGTGTTTCTGCCGAAGGTGCCTGACCTGGAGGATATCACTGAAACCTAAGGGGTGACAGATAATAGGCATTAAGAAATCATGAAAAAGAATGTTCACTACATTATAGAAATTTGCAACTTAGAGTAATGGACAGCTGAGCTTGTTGGTAGAGATTTATGTTGGACTTCTGTGAACATAATAAGCGAGAAGCGTAGCATGTAAAGGGTGTGTCGTGGGTAGTACCTACATTCACAACATAGCTCAGGGGCTAAAGAGAGTGATAAACAGATACAACATAAATGCATTGTGGCCACCAATAGACTAGGTACTAGGCGAGATATAATGTCATGCTGAAAAACATCGAGAGGGGACAAGAAGCTGGACTCACATTTGTTTCGTAAACACACCAAAAATTTTGTTGATTACCATACAGGCGTAAAGTAACATGTTCCTTTTAGCTTCGGCCATACATACATAGGGAAGATGGGCCAGTGTTAACTATAGATGAATGAAAAAGAAGAGAGCGCGAACTACAGGCTCACCGAAAATTCTATCTTTAAATTGTCGAAAGTGTGTTGAAAGCACAGGCCGACCAAAAAAAAAGTGAAGCTCACTCAATCGCAAAATGTATTTGCACATATAGCTCATTCAGATTCTCAATTATGGCCCAATCCGAGGTTGAGTGACTCGGCTTGTGAGTAGAGTTTGCCGACCTATGGCTGAGAGGGGTTCTGAAGCCTGCCATTCCTTTCCTCCAAAGCCTCTATTTGTTGCTCAATCCACTCG